GACTTTTCATGTGTCTCAAAAAAAAAAAAAAAAAGAGAGATTGTCTAGTGCAGGAACTAGTCTGAAGTACATACTGGATCAAGGAAACACTAGGAACAGCCGCATAACTACCATCACATTCCACGTTCCAACTTTGGATCAAGAATGCAAGGATCATTACTTTGCATCAATGCATTAACATTGAAAATTGCACAACTTCTTTGCTATCAAAGAGATTGTGACGGTCACAGTTACCTTGCTATGATCCTGGAAGCAAGGATAGACCAATAGAATGATTGAATTTCACATTCAGGGTCCTGAAAGACAAGTCTTTTACTTTTCATCCTCTGTTTTCTAGGCTCCCCTTGACACCCCACCTCCCAAGTTTTGGACTTTGCTGTGTTATACATAGAATCACAAGAGAAGCCGTCCAACCCCCCTCTCAAATATTCATGGAACCATCATTTCTTCCAAGAATTATCATCTGGATTGAGAAAGATAGCATCAGAACCAGAGAATTCAACTAACCATGGTGGTGTATGATGGTTACTTGCAAAAATATTTCTAAAAGGCAAAGATTACACTTATGTAGGAAACCTTCAACAAATTTTCCATTTAGGTGAGTACCTGATACGATTTTCAAAAAGAAAATCAACATTTTGGGAATCAGGATTCCTCCTAGCAGTAATTTGCATAATTGCACCATCAACCAACATGTGTTGCAATACCCTTGCTATGTTCTTTGCATCATCAAGACCAAGATGGTGACTTCCTAACAATTGAATTCCTTGCTGCCTCATCATTGATATCATTCCAGTAGCCTATCATCCAAAAACAATGAAAATGGATCGTATTAAATAAGAGAGTGAAACACAATAAATGATGAAAAGGAGCATTTTGAATCAACCCAAACTGAAATCCACAACCAAACCATACAATATCAGTTTGAGGTTGAGGACCTTTCCTTATTTTCTGAATTGACATCTGAATCTGCTCTAACTGTAAGAGTAAGATTACATAATACATGAATATTTTTTTAAAAGCAAACCTTTCAGCTGGCCATGTTTGCAATTATTGCCTACAAGTCAAAATGATAGAACAGGTTTAAATTCAACAGAATCTAGTTTACAAAGTAAATAGATAAAGCCTGGGTTGACAGTGGCACTAGCATGCATCATTGCAATCTACCAACTCAATGAAATACATCAAGACATGGCTCTGCTCAATTCTTTCATCTATGCCTTAAATTCCTGGTTTGGTTCTCATCTCTTATAAACAGCTACACAGAATCAATCCAAAAATTAAGCATCCTACCAGAACTGCATTACACCCCACAAAAAGTAGCAGCTCTCCCATGTCAAGTTTCACCTCAAACACCCATTTAAAGTTCCAGGTTGCATCAAAAGAATATATATGAAAAGGAGACATTAATAATATATTGTAAATCTTGTCAATACCTCACGTCCATAAAAATTTAGGTATATATCTTTTAGATTGATCCACTCCCTGAAGTATGGCGGAAGCTTGATTCCTGACACCTTGCACTGCTGAGGAACTTTTGTTTTCAAATCCCAATTCCCACTAGTAGCAACAGGATAGGACTTGTCAGAAAACTGGAAAAAACACACTTCAAATGTTGTGAGACTCACCAAGTTACAAATGCAGCTCGAGTAAGACATCCACCTAGATCTTTTCCCCACAAATGATGCTGAGTCAACCAAGCTTCAAACTGTTGAAGCACTTCTTTAAATGGAAGAGCCGTGTCATGCCATACCCTGCAAATTAAGTCAAGCTTTAGCTACAAAAGGGAACCCATTCCTCCAGTCCAATATGACATGCTTGCCTCTTTTATTGCACATAACATGATAACTTCGTGCATCCAAGTGTGATGTACAACCAGAGTGTGTATGTGTAGAGTGATGGAAGTCTAATACTGAGCTGTAAACAAGGGGAGATAACTACATGATTGGTTGAGAGCTAACTCATAGCAGCACAATGATGTTAGTTATGGCAAAGTTGGTGAGAATTGACAGCAGTGAAGTAACATGCCACTAAGATAACTGCTCAAGAATCAATCACCAATTAGCTTGCCACAACTCTGCTTGTGTCATCTATTTCAGTGGCAACACTTTTTGATTGTTGACACTTGACAGCATTAGCCAACATTACCAACAATTAAGAAGTAAATGCTTACATGAAGAAAAGAAAGCCTAGCCAGGGTACCAATCAATCACCATAAGGCCATCAAGTTCAAACAACAGAAAACTAATGGTTGAAGTAGTTTTAATAACATACCTGTCAACACCAAATTTCCCATATTTGCCTTCAATATATTTATTTATTGCTTGTTCACTCATTTTGGTGGGTTTCACAAACCTACAAAACATTTTTCCATAGAAGATTGAAGTCAAAGTCTATTTTAAAAATCATGAACCAGTTAGACATTATAGTTAGCAATATGCTACAAGTATCTACACACAAGTAGAAAATGAAAAAATAAAATAAAAAGTAAAAAATAAATAAACAGCAGAATGGCCCCAAGGGGATGTCTCAAATGGTTAAGAACCTAAGATTCCAAGTTAGAGATCTAAGGTTTAAATCTATGAGTCGGGTGGGGAGGGGTTATGGGAAGGGATAGCCCAATCATCAGATGCACCATAAAAAATTGTGAAAAATTATCAAAGTTTCCTGACCGCAAATTCTCTCTAGCAAATGATTGTATTCTACATTTCTACTAGGATGCACACAAACTACTGAGTGGGATATGCCATATTGTCATATACAGGCAAACACATACTGCATCCACAATTAGGCATATATGAACAAGAGAAAAATAAATTCCAATATTCCATCCAACATATTTGGATCAACGGTCAAGTATGAACCATGATTTGTGCCATTGATATTAAACTATGGAGAAGACTACAACCTGTGGAAAAAATCTATGACGGCCAAAGTTTTAGCATCTATGATCAAGACCGGAAATTCAAGAATCTCGACCTTCCCTTCCAAATCAAGCACCAGAAAAAAATCTATCTCCTGGGAGCACTTGTGCTCAGCATCAGCAGCATTCACTTGGAGGTCCCTAGAGCAATCATGGCTGAATTTTTCTAGGTGCGCGGGATCATCCATCTAAAATGCAGAATAAACTTTAAATCAAATTATACACAATTAAAACCTTCAGGATATTTAAATCAAAACACTACGAAGCAGATTCTTGTTCAAATTATACAGTCTATTTAAATCAAACACCATGGGAAATATCCAAGCTTATATTGATGAAAATTACCATAGTTTCATAGAAAGAACCCACAAAGAGTAGTACATACTTCAAAATCAAACAGGTGGTGAGCATAAAAAAAATCATATGATATTCAAAAACCCACTTGCAGATTACTGAATGTAAGCAAGAATATATCAAAATCAGGAATCGAGAACATAGCCCAAAAAAATAAAGCAACTTTCTTTTGAATTTAGAACAATTAGGATGTGTTTCAGCGTCAAAAAATTGCATACCATGGTGCATTTTCCTTGCGTGTAGTACAAACACATGGGCCTCCACCGATTACCATCATGGGTCATCTTAGGACCAGAGGAAGACGAACGAGGAGGAGGAGAAGAAGGAGATGAGTACCGCGCTACTGCAGAGAAATGGGGTGTTCGGACATGCCGGATAGGAGAGCAAGAAGGCGCGCAGAGGATTGGAGAAGAAAGGAGCCGGCAGCAAATAGGGGATATCTTAGAGAGAGTAACCCGACCATTTGGAAACGCCATGGTTGGATTCTTGAAGGTGGAACCTTTTCTGTAGTCCTGGTCCTTGAATAGTTGAATGCGACTCGACGCTGCCAGATACCGTCTGATATGAGCACGCGAAGGGAATAGCAATTTAGGGTGAATTGCATCAAAGACCTTAAGTTTTATAATAATTACAACCCTCTATTTAAGAAACTTGTACAAGGCGATGCAAGCATGGAGAACTAAAGTTCTTACAACATTTTTAACATATAAAAAACTCAAAGGGGTTGATGGTATCACCCTAACTTTATAATCTATTCTTTTTGTACGGATAAGAGTCCAACTTAATAATACTATCCTTTGCTGATAAAAAAAAAAAAAATGCTCTACTTGTCAACCAAGAAATTTAGGATTGCTAGGTCATGCAACTACAATTATATTTTAACTTAATATATAAAGTTAATTATAAAATATTTATATATTCGAATTCTATGTTTAACTTATTTATTTTTTTATA